ATAAACACCGCTCTCAAAGAGTTACATTTACACAACACTCTGCTGCCCTCTGGTGGCAAGAACAAGGCTGCTGTCTGGAAGCTCATTGGGCGGGATCCAGTCTAGCTTTTAAAGGTCCCATGACATGATGCTTTTTGGATGCTTTTATATAGGCCTAAGTTGTCCCTAGTACTGTATCTGAAGTCTCTTTCCCGAAATTCAGCCTTGGTGCAGAATTTCAGCCACTACGAGCCAGTCCCACAATGAGCAACTGCCATGCTTCGCTCGTTTGCAAGCCATGATGTCTCTCGAGGAAAAAAAAAATATTGCACTCGCCTGGCACTGTAGTAGCTCATTTTCTCATGGGCGGGCAAAGCAGAGAAAGGGGAGGTAACCTTTCCCCGTATGACGACATAAAGGGAAGATTCCAGATTGGGCCATCTGAGCTTTCATTTTCTCAAAGGCGAAGCAGGATACCCAGGGCTCGGTTTACAGCTATCGCCATTTCTAGCCACTGGGGGACCATAGGCAGGCTAGGGGAACTCATATTAATGCTAAAACACCTCATAAAGTAAAATTTTCATGCCATGGGACCTTTAAAGGGTTTATGATAGCTTTAAATGCTGACTAGTTTTGGGAACAGAGCTTATGGGTTAATGAAGCTCCATCAGGCTGAACTCACCGTGTAGGACTCCACCAGCACGGTGGTCTCCAGCGCAAGCTTCTGCTCCTGCTCGATGTTATAGCCCACGTAACACAGATTCTCCTTCATCATCCTCACCGTCTCGAAGTCCGCTGAGTGATTGAAGGCATAACCTCTCAACAACAACAGCTGGAGAGAGACGGAGAGCGTTAAGATTCAGTCTGGACATTTGTCCGTGGAAACTAAATCAAAAACAATTCTTTACTTTTTCTTTTTTTAATTGAAATAAAGTGTAATAGAATTAAAATATTACATGAAAAACTTAAAACTAAATGAAAATTAGAAGTGTTGCATTGACAACTAACTGAAATAAGCTCAAAACAAACTGAAACGGAATTTAAAATAAACAAACTATATAGAAATATATAGAAATAAACTAATAGAAATAATAAAAGCGCATAAGAAAATTGTTCAAATTAAATTTTTTTTACTTAAGATTAAAATGAAAGCCGAAAATGAAAAAGCTAATCACACACACACGATATGATAAAAAGAACTATAATGGTATACCGTGATCAGCAGAGTTTACACGTCACGTTTTGGTAACGGTACGGTTCACTTGGAACCCCAAACGAGGTGGTACTAAAAAAAGTACCAGGTACTAATGTGCAAAAAAAAAAGTTTATATTTTATCTATGCTAGAAAGACAACCTTGCTGATTGACATGTTGAGCCGTTTGCTTTCTCAGTCAGGACTCATAAGGCTCACAGATACGCGAGCCGGTTGAAAATCGATTCAAATATGTGACGATTCAAATCGGTTGAGATGCTAAACAAATCGCGATTCATTTAGGGGTTACCGTCTTACTTACTGTCTTTAGAAAAGTTTAGATGGTATTTTTTTCTTTTCTAATTTATAATTTGTCTTAAATCTCATTTTGTTAAAAGAAAATCGTGAATCGAATCGTGAGTTGAGTGAATCGTTACATCCCTACTGATACTGTAATATTTACACTAGATGCATTAACACTGCATTAGAAATGCTCAGTTGGACTGAAGCGATTCAGAATCAGACAAAAATATGTGCATGTAAACGGTCAGCAGCTGAGACAGAGCATCTACAGGACTGTACCTTGATGAGGTAGCGTGTAATGTCGCGTCCGGCGATGTCCAGACGCCGCGTGAGATGAGGAAGAGAAAAACCTTCATACACTGGACAGATATGAGTGACACCGTCTCCAGAGTCCACCACCACACCCGTCAGCAGACCTGCACACAAACATCAGCTCGTCACGTCTAGCACCGAGTTCTTGTTTTTTTTTTATTATATAATATTGTATATCATTATATATTTATTATTGTTAATTTAATTTTATATTTATTATTTTTAATTTTATTTAATTTTATTATATATATATATATTCTTTTTTAATTTATTTATTTTCCCATCATTAAAGGTTTCCTTACCTTGAGCGTACAGAGTGAGCACGGCCTGGATGGCGATATAAACGCCTGAGAACTGATAGGTCTCAAACATCACCTACAGGGAGACAAGAGGGTCAAAAATCACAAACACAAACCACACTGAGGATTCCTCACAGATGTTATTCAACAAACGGGCGCTCAAACCTCGATGATCTTCTCTCGGTTCTTGGTGGGGTTCATGGGCGGCTCTGTGAGCAGGATCTTGCAGTTCTGGGAGTCGATGTTGAGCTTCTCGGGGCCGAAAGTGTAGTCCCACAGGTGCTTCATATCGTCCCAGTTCCTCACGATCCCGTTCTCCATCGGGTAGTTCACCTCCAGCATGGAGCGCAGCTCGCTCGCCTCGTCGCCCACCATCAGGTCCTACAGGTCACACAGGAGAGGTCAAAGGTCAGGACGCTCAATGGTAACTTTCATTTCGAGCTGAACGGAAGCTGTCCAGGTTGAGAGAAATTAAATGTGTTGAATGGAGCTGGAGACAACTGGGAAAAAAAACTTCACTGCATCAGATTTTCAAAATAAAAGTCAATGTTTTTTATCAAGCACACTGATGAGTTTACTCATGAATCTGACAGCAAAGACATTAAAAGCACTGCAATACAATCATTAAAAGTGAGTAAATGGGTCACACCGGCTGTAACTAGAGAGAAAGCTGTTGAATGAAAACACAACCAGGGTTCCCATCAGTGTTGTAAATGTAAACTAAAATTGTAAATTGAAATAAAGCTGAAATAAAACAAAAAGATAGATAATAGAAGAAAAATGTAAGAAACTTACATGAAAATCACAAATCTTGCATCGGCAACTGAAATTTCCTTACTAAAATTACTTAAACTGTAATAAAATAAAAGATATTACAAAAGCAAACTAATAGAAAAAAACTGAACAGAACAGAAATTACAAAAGCACATAAAGTTACTAAAACGTCATCTAAAATTAAAATAAAAAAACGAAAGCATAAAAATAAAATCTAATTCAAAATATTAATAATACTATACATTTTAAAAAATAAAAAAAATACTAAAACAAGACTGGCTCCCATATTTTTTTAAAATCATAATTAAATATTATTATAGAAATTTTCAGGTTTTAAAAACACACTTCTAATCTGACATTTCCTGGCTTTCTATGACCATGAACCCTGTATATCCTATTTGGACACAGCACACTCTGTGCACATTCTGTACAGACCAGTGCATTCTGGGTAATGTCAAACACTGACACGTACAAGCAAGATCATTTCATCAGGGTTAGTGAGAGAACGAGATGTATGATTAGTTTGAACATTAATACAATAATCATCTCCTCTGCATCTCCTGAGAGGGTTTGGAAAGAGAATCGCTACAGGTTAGACTCACAACCCACACACACACACACACACACTTACCATCCTCCTATAATCCTACAGTACCTCAATACAGTAACAGAGGAGAGAAAGACAAATACAGAGGGAACAGGCGATGAGCAATGAGAGCAAATGTTAGTGCACTGATTCTTGAAGTAAAGGACCAAACTTGTCCTACATACAAAAGTCCTATTTATGAAAAAAAAATAATAATTTAAATAAAAATGCTTAATGTAAATCAGTATATGTGGGGAATTTTTTTTTTTAAATAATTGTATTAAAATGATTTTAAATGCATCAATTAAATTAGTTAACATTAATTATCTTACTTTGTTGTCTTGTCAATCAGTTGTTTGAAAAAATATTTCTTAGTACTTGCTCTGTTGTAACCACTGTTGGTTCTTTGTCAACACCGTCAGAAAGCATCAGCACACGAGTAGAAGGTTTTTGTTCATTTTTAAGAAAGTATTTTATTCTGTGCTCAATTTATTGATATATTAATAAATATCAGCTGTACTACATGCTATGATGTCTTATTTGCCTAAGAACAGAACATTTTTTCAGAAAACAAAGTGTACTGTTTACACAACATTTAGTAAATGTCCATTTTTATAAAAACCTGTTCACCTGCATGGTTCATCAGCTGAAAGACCTTTGTCTAGAAATATATCTATTTCTAATGAAAGCAGTATTTTTTAAAAATGTTTATGGTTAAAAAAAAGTGTCCAGGATCAACACTACAGTACACTCAGGTGATATGGCTAAAACAATCTCATTTAATATTTTTTCAGTCTTTTGACAATAATAAATACATATCTCAATATTTCGGTTTTTCTTCTGAAATGACAAGAAAGATGAATATTTCAGTCAGAGGAACCTGTAAACCCTCTCATAGCAGCTCCACCCCCAGTGAAAACCACTCTGCAGGAAGTTCAAGTCAAGCAGGAAGTTACTCAAGTTCCTGTTTATGTCCCGTTACCAAATATGACCATTCATAGTGTTTCTTTGAAATCCTTAGAATGACAATTTACAACCTCTGATGCAAAATCTACTGAACGACCTACATAGGTAGCATTTCAAAGCATCATTATAATGTAGGTTTATCTAATTAAAAATGAACTGTTTAGTTACTTGTTGTGAGGGTTGCATTTCAACACAGATGCAGCTGTAGGGTGTATAAAGTAAGGCAGCTCACTGGGTGATTGGGACAGAGCCCAAGTCATGGTGTCATTGTAGGGAAAGATTTAGGGTGCAGTTTAGTGAGGAACCTTTACCTTGATCTCGATGTTTCCCACTTTGGCTGTGGAGCGGATGATCGGTCTCCCCACCAGAGCCGGGAAAATGTGCTCTGGGAAATTAGAGCCGGCATATCCACACTTCACAAACTGAATGAGAATGAGCAGCATTAAACTACATTTTGGCATTTTACAATACTTATGTGGATATTTTGGATGAAAGTAACTCAAAAGTAACTCAAAAGTAGTGTAATGCATTACAATTCAGAGACAGTAATATTGTAATGTAACTAATTACTTTCAAAAGACAGTAACTAGTAATATATAATGTATTACATTTTGGAAGTAACTTGCCCAACACTGGTTAGGATAGGACAATATTTGGCCGAGATACAACTATTTGGACAAATCTGGAATTACAATGTATTGTTGGCTATTGCTACAAATATACCCGTGCTACCTATGACTGGTTTTGTGGTCCAGGGTCACATATATCTCACTAATTTCATCATATTTGTTCTATTTTTGACAGTTTTGTTAAAAACAAACAAACAAACATGACAGTAGCGTTCCTGCTCAATGGTACCAAGATGCACTCAAATATCAGGTCAAAAACTGTTGTTTTTAATGTCATATACTCAGTGAGGACAATTGCGGCATTATAACCAATTTACTTCTCTCTTACATTTACTTGATCATTTCTATCTTCCAATTCCTAAAAAAAAAAAAAAAAAAAAAAAAGTCCACAATAAACAAAAGTCCACATAATCGCTTGTCCACTGGTCCCATGTCCAGGAAAGAGTCCAAAGACAAAAGATACACAATGGAAAATCTACAATTATTCAAAAAACGATTGTTCAAACAGTGACAGCAGTTCAGCTTCATCCGGTGCACCTTCAGAACGATGATCAAAAATACAAGTTGAAAAAATAAAATTAACAGCTTAAATAAGATTGAACAGTAACAGCTAATTTTGTTGACCTGAACAAGCTAAAGCAAATCAGACATCAAATATTCAGACAGCTTCCAGCATCAGACTCAATGCCGCACAACTTCTGGAGCTCGAGGAGGTACTACGGCTGTGATTCCCTGTAAAAATATACAATTAAATAAGAGAAAGCTGTAAACTGGTGACAAATGAAGCACAATGATTTAAAACAAAAACAGACCCAGTTCAAGCACACAAGCTGAGAGATTTACAATTTACACAACTTAGAAAACCAGCCATATCATACAGCAACAAGGAGGTTTACTCATTGTCATAACTACCCACAATCCCTCCAGCTCTGTTATAGAGCAGACTCAGAAAACAAACAAACTTAGAGCACCCTGTACCTTCTTAAAGACAGCGACACAACAGCAGGATCATGTGTTCAGTGTATGAGACAAAATGTTAGTGTGTATGCGTTATATACATGTTAAAGGAATACTTCAACCAAAAATGAAAATTTGCTGAAAACTGACTCACCCTCAGGTCATCCAAGATGTAGATGACTTTGTTTGTTCATCAGAACAGATTTGGAGAAATTCAACATTACATCACTTGCTCACCAATGGATCCTCTGCAGTGAATGGGTGCCGTCAGAATGAGAGTCCAAACAGCTGATAAAAACATCACAATAATCCACACCACTCCAGTCCATCAATTAACATTCTGTGAAACGAAAAGCTGCATGACGAGGCAAATTTGTCACTGGAGGAAGCAAAAAATTATGGATTATGGGCTCATATTTTGGCCAGAAGCAACAGTCTAAAGTTAAAATACCTTAGTAATGGATTTGTTTCTTACAAACACACAGCTTTTTGCTTCACAAGATGTTAACTGATGGACTGGAGTGGTGTGGATTACTGTGATGTTTTTATCAGCTGTTTGGACTCTCATTCTGACGGCACCCATTCACTGCAGAGGATCCACTGGTGAGCAAGTGATGCTAAATTTCTCCAAATCTGTTCAAATGAAGTTAAAGCTAAATTGTCCTTTTTGGGTGAGCTATTCCTTTAATGTGGCTAAATCAGCAGAATAAAATGCAATGATAGAAAATGCTTCGCATCCATTCATGAACAAATGTCACATCGCTGGAGAAGTTTACCAAAGAAGTGCAGGTGTCACCCCAAAATTATATTATGCATTAAGAAAGCTAACCTTATTTTTAGAATTATTACATTTTCACATTGATAATTAAGCATATTTCCTCTCAAAATTCTCATTAATGTAATGCAAAAACATGCTCATACTGTAATGCAATAATCAAAAGCAACAATTTTTAAATTACAAATTAGATCAGTTAAAGGCAGTGCAAAAACACATTACAATTCAAATAATATAGCTTTTTTACATTACAGCATGGAGAACAAAAGGTTTTTGGCATTATGTTAATGATCAATTGGAGGAAAATGTGCTTAACTGCCATGAAAATAACATCACAACAAAGTTCTAAAAATATGCAACGTTTTCTTTATGCAAAACATAATTTCTTAGTTTTCCTTTGGTTTTGGGGTGAAACATGACTCGCACAGGTTTTCTTGAGAATCTCAGTGCCAGGTTTGCTTTATATTCTGCAGTGCACAGACGCGAGGAACAGCAGTTTTATGAAGTTTGGTGCAGCATCACTGGTGTCGGGTCTGTGTTACATGCGATACGCTCCTCACAGGAGCACAAACTCATCTGTGCTTCCTCTCTTATTGTTCCTGCTCATTCTGTTGCATGAGAAAATGTTTGCAGGACCGTCCATGGACCCCCCGCTCTGCCCCTCCAGTCCATAGTTCTGTCCCCTGCCCTCTACAAATGTAAAGATGGGATACTTCTCTTTAGAGGATGACAAAGCCTGAAAAAGAACAAAAAATTATTTCAGCTTCTTGATATTTATGCATTCATTCCGAAATGGCATGACAATTTATGCATTCATTCCGAAGTATCAAAAATTTAAATTGCGCCATTAATTCGCTAATTGTATATTCAGTGAACAAAGACAAATTTCAAATGTTTTATTCCAAGAAACATATATCTTATTGATTCAAACAAGACACTCACTTCACTGACCGCTGAGCACAAAGACTCAAAGTCTCTCTTAGTCTGCGCGTAGAATCCGATGGTGCAGCTGGGATCCATACGACTAAAGTTCATCTTCCTAGGCGAGTTACAGTGAAAAGACTACGAGAGAAAAAGACCAATGCAGCTTCAGTTCCTCACACATGGTCAAAACTTCAAAATGAAAATGTCTTCTGATGCAAATGTAATGTTGCTTTCCATCTCACCTCCAGAGAGAAGTTGCCTATTCAGCTTTCAGATGGTGTATAAATCTCAATTTCGAAAAATTTACCCTTATGACTGGGTTTGTGGTCCAGCGTCACATATAATATCAATTATATTAATATAAATATATACATGGAAATATTTTCAAAATATATACTGTATGTGTGTGTATCTATATATACATAATAAATATACACAGTATACACACATATATTATGCAAACAAAAACTTTTATTTTGGATGCGATTAATCGTTTGACAGCACTATTCTTAATAGACACGTACCTTGAAAGCCAATAAAAAACAGGGAATGCTTGAAAAGACCAATGCAGCTTCAGTTCCTCACACATGGTCAAAACTTCAAAATGAAAATGTCTTCTGATGCAAATGTAATGTTGCTTTCCATCTCACCTCCAGAGAGAAGTTGCCTTGGGTGACGTCCACCACTGGCTGACAGTAGTGTGGGTCTAGATACAATAGCTGCTCGTCTGGAAGACAGAGAGCTGCCAATCAGAGAGCAGACAGGAACGCAGTAACATATCAAAACATAGTTCTTAATTAGTGCTGTCAAACCTCCAGCGTCACATATAATATCAATTATATTAATATAAATATATACATGGAAATATTTTCAAAATATATACTGTATGTGTGTGTATCTATATATACATAATAAATATACACAGTATACACACATATATTATGCAAACAAAAACTTTTATTTTGGATGCGATTAATCGTTTGACAGCACTATTCTTAATAGACACGTACCTTGAAAGCCAATAAAAAACAGGGAATGCTTGGGTTTTCCTCCAATAATTCCTATACAGCATTTTAACTTGAGAATGTTCTAGGAAAAGAGAGGTTAGTATAAATAAAATATAAATGTAATATATTATATGTACTTAATATGTGTGTGTGTGTCTCATCATGAATTTTGTGATGATTAATTGTCACAAAAATAATTGTGATTCACAATTTTTTTTACGTTTTGATCATGCCAATTACAATGTAAAGCCTAATACATTACTTTTATATTTATTTTACTTGGAATCATATAGTAAAATAGGGCCATATGATTTACTTTAATGCTGTGAAAATTAATAATTTATATCATTTTTATAATATAATATAATATATAAATGTTGTTTAATTTTTACATAAATATGTTATGCTGAATGATGATGAAACATTTTCACCCATATTTTGACATTTTATGTTCACAAAAGTTTTTGAACCGTTAAAGTAGACACTTTACTTGTATATAATATGCTTTTTATGTATATAAAATCACTTTAGTAAATTTATTTTGATGCAGACACCAAAATGGGTGTCCAATATATAACAATGTCATTATTACAATATTAATAAAAATATAATATCTGTTTTGGCCAGTTTGCAAAGTGATTTATATAGTTAAATTCAGTCCCCCCCCCCCCAAGTGTTAGTGCATTTGTACCTTAACACACTCAATGTAGGAGGGGTTTAGCGATTCTCCTCCCAGCCGTACCGGCACTAGAATGATGACTGACTTCCAGCTCTCGGACAGCCCCTGTGTTAGCGGCGACTCACACAACTTCATGACATCTCCTTTATACACTGCAGCACACACAGAAGCAGAAGCATGAGCTAAACATCACTTACAGACATGTACAGGAAACAGTTTCAGTTTCACTAACTGATTTGATTTAAAACGATCGCATGACACACAACCCACAAGACTGAACATGAAGCCTCACCCGTGCAGTCCTGTGCCACGTATACAGCCAGGTTGTGAAACTCAGTGGTTCTAGCCACTGCTTTTCTGGTGGAAAAAAATACATTAAATCACAAAAGGTCAAAAGTTCAGTTATTCAAAAGAAGCTTTTAAATCTAAATATGGTAAGATTCATTTTCTCTCCTCTAACCTCAGCATATGTGCCACTACGGACGGGCCGTACCAGTCCCCCGCTCTCTTCCCCGACTCCTTTCCTAGCTCTACCAGCTGGTGGACGCCAAAAGGAGCTGAGGGATGGTCACCAAACCAAGACACCACCTTTCGGTGCAAAGCCTCCAGCTGAGGCTCATGGCTGGCTGCAGGACATCGGGCCGGGGTCCGCCTGTGATCCTCACTGCTGCCAGAGCTCGGGTCTCTCTGGGAAATGGGGTTGGTCCAGGAAGAACTGAAGGACGGAAGAGACATGCCAGCCGGACGGGAGGGCGAGCGAGGCTTTAGCACCTCAAAATCAACGTCTGTCAGCGGATGACAATCTGCCCACCTCCAGTCTGAGATACAGAGAGCAGAAGACAGCATGAGTCTACAGAAGTGAATCACACTACTGTGTAAAACTTTGGGGTCAGTGAAATTTTTTTAAAGATAAATAAATACTTATATTCAGCAAGCATACATTAAATTGATTAAAAGTGACAGGAAAGGCATTTATAATGTTTCATCAATATCAAACGAATGCTGTTCTTTTGAACTTTCGAATCCTCAAAGAATCAAAACATGAACTGTTTTCAACACTGATAATAATCAGCAGTTTCTTGAGCAGCAAAACAACATATTAGAATGATTTCTGAAGGATCATGTGACACTGAAGACTGAAGTAATGATGCTGAAAATTCAGCTTTTTGATCACAGCAATAAATTACATTATATAACACATTAAAAACAGTTATTTAATATTATTATATTTAACAATGTTACGTTTTTTACTGTATTTTTGAACAAATAAATGCAGCATAGGAAAGCATAAGAGTCTTATGTATGAGTCTTAATAACGCTTCTTTCAAAAACATTAAAAAATCTTACAGACTCCAAACGTTTGAACAATAGTATATATATTTTAAAGTGCTAATGGATTATATTACTTAACTAAGGGTTTCTGCAAGTTTTATAAAGTTGGATTTAAGACTTTTTAAAGGCCTTTTAAAGACCAAGTAAAGACAATTTAAGGAATAAAGTGAAGGAAACACGTCAATATGTTCACTAAATGTAAATGTCTAGGGAGAAAGATGATGAGTTGTATTAGCAACACTTGTATTCCCAATCTCCATTAAGTCATTTAAAAAAACAAAACAAATCATTATTAAATCAAGATAAATTTACCTGAGATGCAAAATGATAAAGTCTTGTTTTCTAAAGAAAAAGATAAAAAATAAAGTGAGCTTATGATAAAGCCAGAACAAATATCTGCCAATGAGCTCAGAAAAATCAACTTAGGTCAAAGCTTAATTCAAAACCCATTGACCTATATTTGTTATCTATAGTGTAAAATCAAAAGTGTAAAGTCTTAATTTCTCAGTAAACAAGACTTCATATCTTTATTTTGCTACTTCAGTAAATGTATCCTGATTTAAGGATGTTTAGATATTTGTACTGGAAAACGAGACAAAAATACTGAAGAAGAAGTGCATGCAATATTTAATGCCACGACTTTATGAATTTAAGGCTTTTTGCTCTGAAGACATTTTTACGGCCCTAATTTGTGGAAGGGTGAATTAAGACTTTTTAAGACCCACAGAAACCCTTTTAACTACCATTGTTTATTTTGACTATTTATATTTAATAAAAGTAATTGGTTTTTCAGTATGGATTTAGGGACAAATAAAGAAATGGGACAGTAGATCAGACCTGGAGGCATGAGGTGCTGCAGTAACCCCTGCGCCAGCAGCATCTGTCCGCTGCGCAGCATGCAGCCCCAGCCGCAGTCTGTGGTCAGGCTGGATCCCTCCAGCTGAGGAAACTCCCTCCTGTAGGTGAGCCACACGCACGACACGAACGCCTGCCGGAAACGATCCACCTCATCTGGGAATGAGGCGCGAAAGAAGACAACCTTCAACATTTGTATATGATTTATTCTCTAGTTTAAAATGCAGAGACTAAAAGTGAGGCATTCAAAGATTAAAGGGATAGTTCACCCAAAAATGAAAATTCTGTCATTAATTACTCACCCTCATGTCGTTCCAAACCCGTAAGACCTTCGTGTTCATCTTCGGAACACAAATTAAGATATTTTCTGATGCATTCCGAGAGCTCTCTGAGCCTCCATAGACCCTTACACGATCAAGGCTCAGAAACGTAGTAAGGACATCGTTAAAATAATCCATGTGACATCAGTGGTTCAACCGTAATATTATAAAGCTACGAGAATACTTGGTGTGCAAAGAAAACAAAAATAACGACTTTATTCAACAATTCGTCTTTTCCGCTTCACCTCATAGCGCCATTTTTGAGAGTATCACACTGAGAGAGAAGATACACTGTTTACATTCAGATTAAAGCATAAACAACGTAAACAATTGTTTACGTATGTGATACTCTCCAAAATGGCACTATAGCTGTCTATGGAGGGTCAGAGAGCTCTCGAAATTCACCAAAAATATCTTAATTTGTGTTCCGAAGATGAACGGAGGTCTTACAGGTTTAGAACGACATGAGGGTGAGTAATTAATGACAGAATTTTCACTTTGGGTGAACTATCCCTTTAAGTTGACTCAACCAATAGCGGCTCTCAGGCAGATCACATGACTCACCTTCACTATTGAACAGATAGGACTGACCCAGGAGGATCAGAGGGGAGGTCTTGTTGAAGGTAGTTTTAGATTTAACGGTCCAGCCTGGGAAAATGAAGAGAGGAACAGTCAGTGATATTTGTTGTGGTCATTTTTAAACATGTGCTTCTACATCTGACTTCAAAAATAGCCCGGGAAAAAAGGAACTAACTGTTTGTGTCATTATTTGTGTCAGTCATACAAACCAGTTCGCAAACCATAACAAATGCATGAAAACGAACCATATTTGACGTTGTTCCATGCGGACATGAACTTGGCTTTCAGGCGATCCACTTCATCGGGCTCTCCAGAGCCTTCTCGGAGCCCATCAGGCGCTGAGCCGTGGCCGTTGTGGCGTCTGGACTGTGCTGAGGGCCTGTCCTCATGAGCACCGCCGCCCACTATGTACTGAACGGCACTGGGAGACACCGAGTTCATGATTCAGGATGAATACCGCAGCATTACAGAAGAACTTCAGCCTGAAACAGAGAGACAGAAAGAGAGCTTCCTTCATTTCTTGGTAAAACAGCTGTGCTATGACAACATGCTGTAATTCTCAGAACTCAAACCATTCCTCAGTCCAAAAAAAGCATACGAAGCTGCAAAAATGTCTCATTCTGAATATGAAATCAGATTTCTGACATCAGGAAGACTGAAGCATTAACGTGAAGTTATATTGAGAAAACAGGTTAGATACTAGAGATGCTTAAAATGCTGCTACCATATTAGTTATTATTGGAGGTTTTTTAATTTATTGATATCAGTCGACAATGGATATTTAATTGTGCATGCTCATTTCTTCATTTAGATGACCTTTGTCATCATCTAACACTCACTTAAAGGTAATATTTAAAAACATTAATTTAATAACATAACAACAACAATAAAAATTGTGAGTGCAATGTACAGGATCCCCACACCTTTTGATCAACAATTTTTCTAGGACTAGTAATTTCCAGTCATTCAAATTACTGGATAAGGATTAGAATGTGGAATAGTGTGTTTTTGTCAATAAAATAAAAAAAGAAAATTGTTTGTTTTTAATCCGATTAATCGAAAAAATAATTGACCAACTAATCGATTATCAAAATAATCGTTAGTTGCAGCCCTAGATTTTTATGATCATTGTAGAGACTGACTCAAACAAAGCAATTTATAAATTATTTAAGAGCTTATCACAATCGAATAGATAAAGGTTTGGGGTGGGTTGTGGTTTTTGCTCACAAAAATACAGTAAAAACGGTGATATTGTAAAGTATTATCATAATTTCAAACGACTCTTGTCTATTTGAATATTTTTAAAAATGTAATTTATTTCTGTAATGGCAAAGCTGAATTTGGTGCTCAAGAAACATTTCTAATTTTTTAGTTTTTGTCGAAACTGTGAAACAGTTTTTCAGGATTCTTTGATGAAGAGAAGATTCAAAAGAACAGCATTTATTTGAAATTGAAATATTTTGTAACATTGCAAATGTCGTTACTGTCACTTTAGATCAATTTAATGTGTTCTTGCTGAATAAAAGTATTAATTTCTTTAAAAAAATAAAATAAAATAAAA